TATTCTACCTTTCACTCACTCTTGACCTGACATCTGTGATAAAGAGCAAAAACCTATATGTGATTGCTGGCTTCACCACGAGACTCACAATCACCAAAATGTCAGAGAAGCAATGTTTAAAGAATTATTTTGGGTACTAAACCTTAAATGGCAACATACCACTGACACATTAAGGATGACTTTCTAAAATGCATCTGATACCAACAGAAATCTGAGGAGGAAGCCGTGAGCTTGTTATCTGAGTGCGTGGTTCTACAACGTAGTCTACGGTGAGGCCGTGTGATTTTGATCCAATTACAGTTAAATATATACATAGTTGTTCTCAATTATCAAAAGATGATTTTTAGAAAAAGTGACACCAGCAGGTGATTGTTAGACTGACAGGAAGTATTAGTGAGGCGTCAGTATGTGGTTAAGAGGGTGTCACTAGGTGTTAGCTGGGAGTCGGGTCCGAGTGAAAGTGGGCAGCCTATCTGCAGCGGGAGGGTTGGTCGGGTGGGGGTACTCACTGTTACTTACTTGAACGGCTTCTCTCCGGTGTGTGTGCGGATGTGGTTGTTGAGCGTGGTGGCGCCAGCAAATGCCCGGCCACAGTATCCACACTTGAAGGGTCGGTCGCTGGAGTGCGTCACCACATGGTTCCTCAATTCTGATGGCTGAGAGAAGGACTGGGCGCAGTGGCCACACTGGTACGGTCTGAGAGAGAGTAAGAGAGAGAGAGAGAGAGAGAGGGGTGAGACAAGACAGGTGTCCCGGTCCAGAGGAGGGTTTGTGTCATGGCAGCACCTGGAAGTTTCTCAACATCCCATCTCTGTTGAGGGTAGATCTCTGCACACTGGGCTCCAGTGACTGAGTTACTACTGCATTTTGAACTGAACCACTTATAAGCTCTGTATACACATAGCGTTTAGCACAGATGTACATGTTTAACAAAAAATTAATCACAGAATTTCAGGAGCCGATAACTGAATCCTTCAAATAAGAATCATCATTCACCGAAAAGTCAATATTTTTATCCAGCCCTTCTAAAGTAGACGTTTAGGCTTTATAAATAAACCTGACAGACAAAAGACAAGTGGACACAGAAGAGCACAAGCACACAAACATAAAGCACATGCACAAAAACACATACAGGGATACAAACACACATTAAGACACAAAAACAGACAGAGGGATGAGGCAAGTAAAGACAGTGTAAACCTTCTCACACACACACACACACACACACACACACACAGGGCAGGGGGAGTCGGACTCTGCTCCGGTAACCATAGCAGCGTGACCCTCATCAACAATGCAGGCCTGGATCATGACTGGACCATCTATCACTGTGAGTGTGTGAGGAATAGCGGCGAGACAGCACGAGATAGAGACAGTAACAGAACAAGAAAAGGAGAGTTGGATAGAGATTGTATGTGTATGTGTGTGTGTGAATCAGACTGAAACAACCAAATAAATAGCTGTGTCTGCTAATAGTGTCTCCTGCTTCCATACGGCAGTAGATCTAATCTCACACACATTTTATTTGTCTCCAGCTAACATCATCAGCTCATTGTGCTTTCACTTACAGCACACTTCCACTACAATCTCGGCCTCTGCTCATTTCTTAGACCCCTCTCTCTATTCCCTGTTCTAGTTGTAGATATTTTTAAAAATCACTCATCTTAACCAAAATACTGTCCAAAGATGCAGTTATATTAAGTGTGAAAAACGAATGTGTTGGACAAGGCTTTGGTAGGTCTGGTTAACTGACTGACATCAGCACAGACACTGTCAGCAGCTTGTTCCAAGTTTTATTTAGAAGCCAGTGTTGCTGATTTATTGTGTGAGAGGAGAGATTTGAAAATCTTGGATGTATCAACAAATTCTTACTCAGTTAAAATATTAACAGATTATTGTATTTTTTACTGTTTGCTAAGTGTCCCCCCAAAAAGGTGAGGAAGAATGAAGCGTGCAGACCGTGATGGTGGGTCCTTGAAAGGAGGGGAAAGCCAGACTGAACAGTCCCACACAGGTGAAACAGTCCACGATTACAGAGACCAAACTAACAGTATGGTCAGGCTGTTCTTGTTGAGCTGGTAATGCTGCCCTCACACAGCCACACAGATTGTAACCTGAGTTTCCTGATACCAGAGTTTACAACTTGAGCTGTGATGAAGTGCTAACAAATGTCTAATGGCCAATGGCTCCATGTAACAGATTTATCTGTAGCACCCTTTAATGAATAATAGCAAACAGGGGAGTAAATGTCCACCTTATCTGATACAGCACAGTGTTTACTGGAGACTGACGAGCACCTGAATACCAGCACCTGGTTAATACATGACCATGTGATAAACAGTATCTTGACTTTACAAGTCCACTACGACCACCTGGATGCACCATTAAACCGACTATCTGAGAACGATACACTAGTCGTGGTCTTCTAATTCATGGTAAACAAGGCTGCGTTTATCAGCTGCACTTCTAGACTCTCCAGCCATTACCCAGATGTTTTTCTTAATGCATCTACTAATTATTCAAATTCATCAAAACAGCGCAACAGAGGGAAAGATGCACATGAGAGGTTAAAAAAACATTGTTGTTTTCTGTTCAAATTGAGCCTTAGATGCACCCTGAGGCTGGGAGTGTTTGGAGTGGAGCTCCATCCTAAAACAATAAGTGTCTGTGTATCACACAGCAGTGATGTGTGTACTGATGAGCAGACGGCAGAGACGTTCAGATCTCGGAGGTAATTAGCTGCTGTCTTCTGTCAATTACTTAAGCAACGGATAAAGAGGATGAGTTCCCAGGATTAAACTCGATTCTAATGGCAGTGAACACTGTTGGCGCTGTGATGATGACCACCGGCACTGTTGGAGCTACGATGTTACTATTATCATCGCAGTAGCTGCAAAAATCCAAACTGCAGTGGTTAAATGACCTTATTACTTGTCCTTACACAAAACTAGCTCATTTAGGTCAAAGTCACCCATCTGGCTTTGGCAAGATCTGACAACAAAGTTTGTGAAATGAAATAGTACAAATAACTAACAGGCAGTTATTTACAATGGAAAAGTAACGCGTAGGGTTGCCGTGTGAGAACGACAAATGGGGTTTAGTGGTGGACTCAATTATAGAACCAGACGAATAAAGTAACAGGTCTTTACTAATAACAACAAGGAAAACAATACAAAGTCCGAGAGGCTAAATCAGGTCCATAAGACAATCCAGGGTCGGCGCCGGTAGACAGGAGTATCCAGGAGATCCAAAACTCGGGTAGTCAGGGGAAATAGCTCAGAGGTCGGAACACTGCAGGCAATCAGACTGGAAGGACATAGGCAAAACACGGTGGTCAGAAAAAACGGTATCAGAGGTCAGAAACGGGGAATTCAGGCAAGGTAAGAATGCGGGCAAGGCAGAGCGGGGGTCTAGAACAATCTGGCAGCGTCCTAATGGGAGGACGCTGCCTAAATAGAGGTGAACACAGGTGCAGGATAATGAGGCGCAGGTGAAACTAATCTGAGTGAGGAGAAAAGGAAAAAAAACCTATGCTATGGAAAAAACAAAAACAGGAAGTAGAGTAAAAATAAAAGTCTGACAGGAAACAGCGGAGTAGAATCGTGACAATTAAATATAATTTAAGTACTTCTTACATCACCATCATCACTATGGCTGCAATGAATAATCAATGCAGTGGACGAAAATCAATGACCAAACTGGCTGCCAACAAATTATCTGTCGATCGGTTCATGATGTCATCGTCTGTGTTTTTCTAGTGTCCTTCTGCCACACACACACACACACACACACACGAGTGGGACAAAATAATAAAATCCTAAAGTTCTTCTAAACCTTCCAAATGACATCTGACCCAATAAATCAAACTCTGAGAACAGAAAGGTGAAAAAAGAGTTGTTAGTCAGTACACGCCTGAAACGCCCTAAAGCTAAATTTAAAAGCTGACAGCTAAATAAGAGCCACTGCGTAAAAGCTTGATGCAGAATCCAAAAAAATAATGGATGGATTATTCGACTAAAACAGTCCTGAGGTGCAGCCTAGTCACCATAAAAACACCGAACATGACCCACCAACTTACGACTGTGTTCATGAACGCACATTTCAACAGACTTAATCCAGTTTCAATGATTCTGTTAGGTTTCTCTCAGACTGATGAAAGTAACAAGTACATGCGTTTTTCCTCCTAAACATCCTGAGTTTTAACATTACATGGAGCTCTCATCTCACAAGGTGTAGGTAGGAATGTCTTTCTGTATATTACATCCCTCTCAGGCACACAGATACATACATGCCTATACTATACAATATATAGCTTGTTTTATCACCGTGTTGTGTATTACTGCGTAGGTTGTTAAAATGTCTGTGCAACGATGCCACCAGGACAAACTCCCGTGTGCTGCGCATACTCAGAAAATAAAGTGATCCTTATTCTGAAACCAATAAGACAAAACTCTGACATCAGTACATTACAAATAGGTAAACACCCCAGAACTAGAATAAAACAAATAGACCAACATCTTCACCACTCCAATAAATCACAAACGCCTACTGTTCCCTGAGAGGATGCCGAGCGAACACACACAGAGAAAGTAATAAGAGTAAAATAGTGTAATATAAAATCGAAAAATTCTCACTTGCAGTTTTTTTCCACATAAAAGGCGTCTCGCCGTGGGGGTCGGTTCATTTATCAGCTGGCTGATCTATAAGTTCACGCCTCAGTGGGCCGCACCACTATTTATTAGGTGGGTTTTCTATGAAGAGCTGCATTGATTGTGAATAGTTTAAGTTGATGAATGTGTGGATATTATTTATTAAGGCAGCAGGCCGGGAGATTAATGCCGGTTATTGTTTATTACAGCGGAGAGAGGAGGAGGAAGAGGTGAAGCATAAACACTCCATCTCATATACACACACACACACACAGAGTTATGTGCAATTGCAACCACAATATTTGCACATATAAACAAATTACACATGGTCTGGGTAGTTGTAGTGTCTCGTAGCGTGGCATCACTCTGATACACCCCGCAACGACACCCTGGCTGTGTGAATCCAGCTCTAAAGTAAGAATCTAAGACCAAACTTAAAAGCCAAGTTCTAGCTGTAACCACAATAAACAAGCAGGCCAGGAAACAGCCTCTCCATGTAGGGTTCAGTCACATTATAAGGACTAGCGGTGTAGCAATCCATCGATTAAATACCCTGCTGCCTAAAGTAGTATTCCCTGAGTCACATTACTTCACCTCACAGGCACCCAGTGCAGCTCTCCACCACAACTCAGCTAACTGAGGATCAGCTCTCTGGGCGGTTGTTAGCATCACACAGTTATTCAGTCTGACAGTGTTAGAGTCATGATGACAGCACAGACGGCCAAACATGCTCACAGTCAGCATCGCAAACATTACAACAAGCTAACAAAAACACAAAACAGATGCTTTGATTTGGTTCACAGGCCAACTAAAAATACTTAGTTTGGAGAGATGATGATGATGATGATGATGAGAGCAGAACCGGCTGCCGTGTTGTTCCCACTTGGTCTCGCTGCCATATCCAAGTGTGTCTGTGTGGCAGATCTATAAAATCTGTCATGTCTGTGAAACACGGTTCAGGACAACAAACCTAGTGTTGCCTATAAACACAACATGTGGTAACAACAACAGGGTCGGTGTCAACGCGTCACTGTGTCCACACCTTTA